CTGAGAGCACAAGAGGCTTCACTGGATCCCACACGGGACCGGCAGGGGACCCAGGCTGGCTGACCCCAAGCCCTGCTTGCTTGCCCACGTTTGGGGAGCATGAGGTCATTGTCAGGATTAGGATTAGGAAACTGCAGGAGCGATTAGAGCGTGTCCTCCTGGGCACAGCTGGGCAAAGGCTCCCCACTCAGAGAGGCTCTACGCCTGTCCCGCGGGGACCGCTGTTAGGGTGACCTCACACAGCTTGGCCCAACACAGTGTCCTCCGGGTGGGCAGCCTCACGGCCCCTCTCACCAGGCCAGGCTCCGGGGAGGGGAGGCCCCTGCCTGTTGCTGTGCACCCCGTGTGGGAGCCGCCTTTCTGACCTGGGCTTTTTGGTTCTCACTCTCCTTTGAGCGGCTTAGTAGGCTCCCTGCCCTCCCGGCAGAGGGAGACCTGCACCGCCTGCAGGCCCCGCACTGTCTCAGCACAGGAGCCTCTCCATAGCCTTGGGGGTGGGAGGAAGGGGCAGGGCCAGGAGCCTGGAACCATGTTCCCATCCTGAGGACAATCATCCTGACGTGTCATAGAACTGGGGACTCCATCGCAGTCCCGGGCTTCAGCCCTCTGTTGGCCCCATGAGGACGCCAAGGCCCGGGGGGTTGCGGGCCTGCCCAGGGTGGTTAGCGAGGCAGCGCCCATGAGGTGCCCCAATGCTGGGCCCCTTCGTCTGCCTGCCCCCCGCCCTCTGCCCCCGGAGTGATCTAGGAGCAAGTGTAGTATGGGCAGGAGGCTTCGGGGCCCCGAGCGCTGCTGCTGCTGCTGCTCAGGCCTAGGCAGGAGCTCCCTGAGAGCTGGGGCAGAGCCTGAGTGACATGTGACCCTGGGTTTAGAGCCTGCAGCAGCCAGGCCCTCCTGGGAGCCACCCCCAATCAGCCACCCTGCTGGGCCCCAGGCCCAATCCGGCTTAGCTAGCAAACTGCAGCGCACAGACTAACTCAGCACTCCCGAGCGGGCAGCAGGGCCAGGCCAGCACCTGCCTCTCTGGGCTGTGCGGCCAGGATGGGGCGCGGAGACGGGCGGCAGCGCCAGAGGAAACCCTGGGAGTTGGGGTGGGTACCAGGTAGGTGGAGTGGGGTGGAGGGGATGGCCGGGCTCCCCACAGCCCACGGGGTGACAGGGGCAGCTTATCTGCTGCAGATGACCCATCCCCCAGTGGTGGCAGTGGCGGCAGTGGCAACGGCTCTGGTCCAGCCACATGAGTCCCTAGGTTCTGTGGTACAGCAGCCTCAGCCCTGCCCCCTCTTTGGGCAACTGTGACACTGATTTTTGGATACACAGCCTGGCCACAGGTGTCCCAGAGATTTCACTTCTTGTCTTCTTGCTGCTTTACAGCAGCCTGTCCTGCAGTGGCAGCGAGGAGGAGGTCACACACAGTCTATCAGCCAGCGGCCCTGGCCGGGCGGGCGATATCCCCAGTGGCAGGAATGGGGGCTGGGAGGCAGGCACAGCTGAGGCAGGACTGGGTCCTGGCGTTTGAACAAGGTTATTCCCTGTCATCCTTGCTAGTGAGCCTTTTCGGGGCCCAGCTCCAGCCCGGGAAGGCCATGGGATCCCACACCGCCTGTGCCCTCAAGGGGCACCCAGAGGGCCATAGAGATTGCAGCTTTACAAAGTAAACAGTGGCAGTGCTGGTCCCATGCCCTGGAAGACTTGCAAGTAGGGACCGGGGGACTTGCGCCTGGGTTGTACACATAGCACTTCCTGGCCCCGTGTAAGTCCCTTGGCCTCCCTGAAAACGGGAGTCCTTGTAGGGACCCCGCCGACAGCCCTGAGCCATCAGAATGATCAGGGGTGTTCAGGTCGAGCCAGAGAAGGGGAGGGAGATGGTATGCCTGGTGGACCACACTTGAGGGGAGGGTGGGGCCCTAGGAGACACGGCTGGAGGGGACCTAGGGCCAGGTCTGTGAGAGGCTCTCAGCTGCTCTGGCATATACAGCCAGCCTGCAGTTTCCCTTGGCAGATAAAGTGGTCATTTCTAAAGTATTTAGAGCTCATGAATATTGAGGGTATGAGGTAAAGAGCTAATTCATCTTTGTGGTGTTACTGAACTCAACAGGTTTGCCGTTTGGGGTGCTCTAGTCAAGAGCTAGCTGTGGTTGTCACAAGGCTTAGTTTTATTTACTTGCAGCAGGTGAAGGAGAGAGGATTTGTATCCAAAGCTCTGTCTTCCAGAGGGGAGGCTTAGCCAGTGCATGTACACACTATTCGACTAATCACACTGATTACATTTATCAGGTTGAGTCCCTGTGAAGCTCATCTTGCTTACAGCTGCATCTGCAAAATGCTGCTATGTTTTAACAGTTAGGCAAGTGGAACATTTAGTAATAACATTTAGAACTGCCCAGATCTTGAGACCCTTGTTTAATCTGAGAAAACTGCAATCATCTTGCCCACTTTGCATTCGCTGCTAGGAAGCCCAGAGGCCAGATAGCACCCTCTGATGAGAGTTCATGGGAATTATTTACCATCACATTTGACTACTGCTTTCTACTGCTGTTTGTGACTCTTTTATAAGTCTTGTTTTAAATGCCACAAGTTGTGGGAAAGCAAAGCACCCGTCTGTCAGAACTCACTGAGCGATGATTTCAGGAGCTGCGCAGGGTAGGCAGGGACCGCTGGCGGCAGACACGATGGAGCAGCGCTAAGGAAGCGCCAGGGCACAGGCAACAGGTCTTATGCAGCTGCCAGGTGGTGGTCTGGGGACCCGCAGGGCTTCCAGGCTGCTAAGAACTGGAAAACCATGAAGCACCTGTCATGTGTCTCGCCCGTATTGAGACTCTCGTGTGTGACATAGGCTGGCCTCTTCGTCTGTACGGCATGGCAGGCAGGCAGGCAAGGGGGCTGTGCCTTGTGTGGGCGGGACCTGGCTTTGAGCGGGAAACATGGCTCTGGGGACAGGAGGCCCCCTTGCCCACTTGCAAACCAGTCGGTGAGCCTTATAGACTCATTTCTTGCAAACTCAAAGTAGCCCAGACTTAAAACTGCCCTGGACAAAGGCTCTCCCGTCCCCAGCACCTAAGTGCATAAGGAGGTTTCTTCTCTTTCCTGAGGTCTCCCGGCACCCCTACCCCCGACCAATGCCAGGACACCTGTCAGTATAAATCCATGCCCCTTCTGGAGGAGCAGGTAACGGTGGCCACACTTGACCTTTTGGGGAGGGTTGAGAGGCCCCTGAACCTGCGGTGCAGTGAACACACCTCCTCCCCAGGGTCCTGCCGGGGAGCTGCTGGGACCTGACCTCGGTTTCCTTATCTGTCAGATGGGGATGATACCAGTCCTCCTCCCTTGAGGACTTTGCTGGGTGAGCTGAGACAGGGAGCCATGAGCACAGGGTCTGTCAGATGTTACTGTTCTATCTCACAGGCGGGTCACAGCTCAGAGGGTGGAAGGGCTTGTGTAGGAACCCAGGCCTGCCCACAGCTGATGCTGAGCCCTTCCCACTGCACTTTGCTCGTTTCCTGGGGCCTCCATTTCCACGTCTCCAGAAGGGGGGGGGGCAGCGAGGAGCACATTCTGTGCGGGTGCTGGCGGTGACATGACAGAAGGAAGGTGCCCAGTAGAGGCCTTGTTGAAGGGGTGATGTGCCGGGGGCCAGCTGAGCAGCCAGTCCTCCCCGAGCTGCGGGCTGGGGGCCCCTTCTGCTGAGCCAGGCCCGCCAAGCCCAGGACACCACCCCACCGGGAGGGCACTCCTTCACCCAGCAGATGTGCTGGACCAGCTGCTGAGTTTTGGGGATTCCATGGGACAAAAAGAAATAAGCACAGTCACTAGAGAAGCAAACTTGCAGAAATGACTTTGCAGGAGAGGCGAGTGTCTGAGGAGGCCTGAGTGGGGTCAGGGCCCTTCCCTGCGGGCAGGTGAGAGGCCTGAGCAGCACCGGGAGGTAGCAGGCAGGCAGAGGCATGAGCGCTGGGCACTGTGCCGATGCGGCTGGTGGCCCCCGAAGGAGTGTCCCCACATCACCTCTGGCTCCCCCGACAGCTCTCTGAGATAGTGCTGCATTTGGCCCTGTCAGAGATGAGAGTCCGTGTGCCTTTCTCCCTCCAGAAAAGCATGTCTCTAATGCCCAGCGTCAGACAGCGTGGTGTGTGGCGCTGGCAGCTGGTGCAACAAGGACTGGGAAGGGAGGGCTGGGGAGTGGCGCCCAGAACCTGATACAGGTTGGGCCAAGGAAGCGCGTCCCTTCTTACCCAGTGAGGAGTTCAGACCGGGCAAGCCCAGAGGTCCCGGCCTGGACCTTGGTGCCTTCCAGGGGCAGCAGCTGAAGCCTGGGTCCTCCTTTCCACTGCAACGTCAGGGGCAGGATGACCAACCCCTGCTTCATGAGACCTGGGAAGCTGAAAGAAGCCGGATGTTGTAGCCTCAGGTTTGAAGAGGGAACCTTAAAAGCCACCTTATGTGGTAACAGACTTGGAGGTACCCCCAGTCCCTCCAGACAAGACCCCATCACCTGTGTGAACCGGGCTGTACAGCAGAACATGGTGGCTTTCCTTCTTCCTGTGCCAAAGCTAGGGACTGGCCTGAGCTGTCAGGGGCACCTTGGGTCCCAGTGGGGACAGGGGTTGTGACAGACCTAAGGTCTAGCACACACTGAGGATGTGACAGCTAAGAGCTTGGGCCCCAGTCGTGGTGAAAAGCCAGCTTCCCCCGCTGCTGCTGGCAGGGCAGGCTCGGCCAGCACCACCTGGGGTTTGGTGCTCTCGGGTGGCACCGTGACGGTGGGACGCCGACCGGAGCCGTTGCTGGGCTGGCTCTTAGAAAGCCTGGGTCCCTGTGCCCCTGTGAGAGCCAGAGGCGGGGGCAGAGCTGCTTCTGGGCACCCGAGGAAGGGAAGAGGATGGAGGAGAGAAGGCACCCCAGGGTCTTCCTCGCTGCCCTGTGGGGCGGGGCAGGGCGGGGCAGTGGAGAGGGGATGGGGCAGGCAGGCCCTGTGCTCACAGGCCCCTCTCCCTCCCCAGGCCTGCAGGGACTTCTTGGAACTAGCGGAGACACACAGCCGGAGATGGCAGCGCGCGCTGCAGTATGAGCAAGAGCAGCGCGTCCACCTGGAGGAGACGATCGAGCAGCTGGCCAAGCAGCACAACAGCCTCGAGCGGGCCTTCCGCAGCGCCCCTGGCCGGGCCGCCAACCCCACCCAGAGCTTCAGCGAGGGTGAGGGGCCAGGGACTCTGTCCAGCCGGCTGGCACTCCGTCCACTCTGCCCTCGGCGTCCGCCTCAGCCAGCTGGCTGTGCTTCCTGGGCCCCCAGTACCCCTCCCCTTACCGTGGCTTTCTATTTCCCATGCCTGCCCCGGTCTGGCAACAGTCTCCCTGCGTCAAGGTTCCAGTTCTCAAAAGATAAGTTCAGTGAGCCCAGCTGTCCCCTCTGTGGCAGGGCTGCCAGGGGGCCGCCACAGGCTAGGAGTCATGGGCGCCCTGGGAAGGGCAGAAAGAGCAGCGAGGCCACAGTCAGACCGACCAGCGTTACTGAGAGCAGAGGCAGCGTCTGCAAGTAGGGAGGCCGTGCACCAGCGCACTGGCAGGAGGGCACAGTCCAGTCCGGAAAACCTCGCGAGGGCAGCCACAGCCTAGGTCATCAGGACCCAGTGACCGAGGCAGGGCGGTGGCAGGGGCAGGGAGCGGGAGGAGGGGCCCACGAAGCTCTGGGCGTCCTCAGGTGGGTGAGACGAGCCTTTGTGAGGTTGCCAACTGACGCAGCAGCTTTGCCTGTGTCCCTAGGAAGCTTCCTGACTCCCAAAGGAGAGGACAGTGAGGAAGATGAGGATACCGAGTACTTCGACGCCATGGAAGACTCCACATCTTTCATCACCGTGATCACAGAGGCCAAGGAGGACAGGTGGGCTCTCCGGTGGGGCCGGCTACCCTGGCAGGACCCTCTCCTGGGTCAGCCGCCCCTGCCTTGCTCTTCCTGTGCTCCATCTGTTCCTCTTTGCACGTGAGGTTTTAGGTCTCGTTCCAGATGGCATTTTTGCTTTGATTGGTTCTGTTGTTCCTTAAGTCAAAAATGCCAAAATTAAGTCTGTATCAGGGTTTCATTTTAAGTGGAGATGGAGAACAGGGCACTGGCTGGATCCAGGTCCACCCTGGAGTCAGGGGCTGGGGCTCCCTCAGTCTCACCTCAGAGCTGCACAGGGCCCCAGCTGCTCCCTCTACCATGTCAGCATTCCAGAACAGATGAGATTTAGGCAGTCTCTTTTGTTTTCTAGTTCTAAGCCTTTGTTTTGTTTTTCATAAAAATCTGCCCTGTCAGAATATTTCTAAATGCACAATTGGGACATTGACTATCAATGGAAACCATGTTGTCGCTCCAGGGACCCCAGGAAATGCCTGCAGGGTGACCCTGCCGGTGCACAACACGTGCAGGGTGAGGCGTTAGCCAGGCGGGTTAGCCAGAGGGGAGCATGCTGGGGCTGGAATGTCAATTTAATATAATGGGGAGCTCTGTCCTCATTCGGGTCTTGATACTCATCAAATCACTCAAGATCCTAACAATAGAAGGTTTGGCAAGTATGGCAGGGGTTGGGGGACACAGAGGTGGTGATAAGCTCCACAGGCGTCTGGGGCCCTGCTGTAGCCTAGAAGGAGCTGAGTCCTGGGAAGTGATATAAGTGACCGCAGCCTGTGCTGCCCACTGCCACCGTTACCCATGGCGCCTGTCAGGCACAGCGCCTCCCAGGCTTGCCCAGGAGTGGAGGAGGAACTGCAGGCTTCCTGGTGGCCTCACCCCCAATGTCGGTTCTGCTGCCCCCCACACCGTACCTGCTTTCCACAGGCCCCTGCAGCCCAGTCCAGGGGAGCAGGCTGGTGAGAACCCCTGGCTGCTCCTTTGTTGCCTCCTTGGACCCATGTGCTTCACCACTTTCCTCTCATCACTTCTTCCAGGGAAAGGGCTGTTATCTCTCTTACCCCTCATGGGGTTGCCGGTCCCATCAGCAGTGGGACTGGAAATCAGCAGTGTATTTCTAGCTAAGAGTCATTTTCCAGTTCCCAGCATTTTAAAACTGCTTATATTGCTCCCCAAATGAACATGGCGTGGCCGTTCTGAACTTCCTTCCACTTCATCAGGCGACGGTGGCACCCTCTGGGCTCTGCAGCCAGACGGGTCCTGCTCAGGCTCCCTGCCCTCCCCCCCCCGCCCCGTACCTGGGACTGCACGGCCGCCCCAGCAGCATCCGTACCTCGGCCACAGCCCCAGGCCTCTCTGCTCCCAGCCAGCCAGCCAGCCAGCAGGTGACTCTCCTGCTTACCACCGCATTGGCTCCCACGGCTCGGGCACAGCCACTCCTCCCTCATGCTGTAGCCACGCTGGGCAGTAGCAGGTCCGCTGCCTGTGTGTCCCAACGGTAACTCTCCATACCAGCCCCAGTTCCCCCAATGACCTGGGTGAATCCTTCATGTTCCTGATGCCCTGACAAGTGCCAGTCCCCTACCCTCGCTGGCCTAGGTCACCCCTCCTTGGGGCTCCTCAGAGCCTGGGGCCATCAGCCATAGTGCCCCTGCTGCTCTGGCCAACCATAGCCCAGTGTTAATGGGCACAGGGATGCATCCGACCCACATCCTGCCCTTCCAGGACCCACCTGGGGTGAGTCAGACGAGCAGCCAGAACACAGGTGTGTCTGTGACAAAGGGGCCCATGGGGCTCCAGGAGTCTTCCAGAGGTGCCACCCCCTGGCCGCATCTGGTCCTGGGTGAGCCGGCCTCATGAGGCTGTGCACAGGGACCTCAGGTGAGGGCTTTGCGAAGTATTTGCTGTCACAAGGCATCAGTCAGTGGGAGGCCCTCCAAATCACCACCCTGTGGTCCTGCAGGCTTGTGTGAGCATCCTGAATTGAGGGAGGAAGCCTTGGACGGGCTGTCCCTCAGACCTCACCGCAGGGTCTGTACAGAGGTGGCCAGGTTCTGGTGAGGCCTCTGGATTTGTCAGTAACCTGCCCCCGCTTTTGTGTTTCCTGCAGAAAAGCTGAGAGTGGGACCACAGGCCCTGCGGACTGGACCTCGGCAGACAATGTGAGCAGCTGAGGAGGGAGGCTGGCGCCTTGCGCTCGGGGCCCCTGGGGCAGCCCAGTGCCCTGGCCGCCTTCGGGTCCCACCCATAGCTGGTCCTCAGATGTCCCTGGGTCAGAGGGGAGGGCCAGGCTGGGAGGGCCAAGGGCGTGCTCTTGGCCTCTGCTGATGCTTCTCTGGCAGGTGCTGGACGGCGCCTCACTTGTGCCCCAGGGCCCCCCCAAAGTCAAGAGACGCGTCCGCATCCCCGACAAGCCCAACTACAGCCTTAATCTCTGGAGCATCATGAAGAACTGCATCGGCCGGGAGCTCTCCAAGATCCCCATGCCGGTAGGGGCGCAGGCAGGGTGGCCTCACTGGGTCCCCTGGGGCTGTTTTCTTGTGTGTGGACAAGAAGCAACGGCCTGTGCAAAGCACAGGCGGCCCCGAGTGGCATTTTCTTATGCCTGAGGAGCATAGTGAATTGTTGAATCATGTTCACCGGCACTGCCACAGCCCCCGCAGAGCAGAGGCCTCGGGCCCTGAGGGAAGGAGCCAGGAAGGGGCTCCGCGCTGATCGGAGACTTGGGCTCCCCCAGAGCGTCTCTGCACGAGACAGGGCCTCACCATGTCCTGGCTGTCCTGACCTCGTAGACCGGGAGTGGCAGGATTGGGCTGTGTGTGTTGACAGGCAGGCCCTCCCGGTGCTGGGAGCTGTCCCCAGCCCCGCCTCTAGCAAGGTCACACAGTGGGCTGAGGGCAGGGCCGGCATGCTCCTGCTGCCAGGCCACAGCGGCATCTCCACAAGGGAGGAGCTTGGGGGTTCCAGGCCAGACTTGGTTTCACTCTGTGCCCCAGCACAAGTCCCTTCACATCTCCAGCCTCTATGTCCATGGGGGGAATAACAGCACCCACTTCTACGCGTCAGGGAAGACCCTGCCCGATGGCTGGCCCAGGGTCACAGACCACCACAGGGGACTATGCCCCACTGAGGCTGAGACGGGGGCCCAGCCACAGGAGCTCTCAACAGAAAACTTGTGTAATGGCTCAGAGGATGAGAAAGGCCCATCTTGTCCATTATTCACTCATTCACTCATTCCTGTGACTCAGTGTCAGAAGCCCTGGCCTTCCTGGTGTTTGTGTCCTAGGGTGGGAGACTGACAGCAAACGTTATGCAAGTGTGCGAGACAGCAGGTCAGGAAGCGGTGAGGGCTGTGCAGAAAGCAGGCAGGAGGCGCTGGGGAGGCGAGCAGGTGCAGTTGGGGTATAGGGTCATCCGAGAAACCTCCCCGGAGGTGTCACCTGAGCAGCAATGTCCCTGAACATCGGAGAAAAGCAAGGGTGCTCTGCTGACCCCAGGTCTGTGCTGGGAGCAGCTGTCTCAGCTAGGCACCCCGGCCTGACCCCCACCTGCCTGCAGGTGAATTTCAACGAGCCCCTGTCCATGCTCCAGCGGCTGACCGAGGACCTGGAGTACCACCACCTGCTGGACAAGGCGGTGCACTGCACCAGCTCAGTGGAGCAGATGTGCCTGGTGGCCGCCTTCTCTGTGTCCTCCTACTCCACCACTGTGCACCGCATCGCCAAGCCTTTCAACCCCATGCTGGGGGAGACCTTCGAGCTGGACCGCCTGGATGACATGGGCCTGCGCTCCCTCTGCGAGCAGGTGAGGCCAGCTCGCACTCCGGCCAAGCTGCTCCTGCTGGCCTGGGGTCAGAATGAGACCCATGGGACACAGCCTCTGACCCTGACGTGCCCCTGCCCAAGGGGCCGTCAAGCCGAGGTCCAGTCAGGCAGCTAGGCCTCCTGCAGCAGGGGGCGGGCCCAGGGACACGCTGTCCCGGCAGGCCTCCTGGGTAAAGTGAGGGCCACTGAGGGAGGGGAGCTTGGTGAGGACAGTGTGCGGAGGGGCGGGGCGGGGGGGCTGTGAGGGCTCGTCTCCTGGCCAGGTACCAAGGAGCAGTGGTCCAGGGACATTTGCAGGGCAATGCTGGGGAGTCCAACTGGGTTGGAGCGTGGGGTCACCTCTGAGCTGGCAGGGCAGGCCTGCACCTGGGGGCCCTGGCCAGTGATGGTGGAGGCCTGGAGTGCGAGGAGCGCAGGGGTCCTGCCCTGGGGCATGGAGGCAGCTCGCCTCCCCTCTCCGTGCCTCCCCGGCAGAGACACAGTCTCCCCATGGGACAGAGCCACAACCAGACCCCACAAGCTGGGAGCCTTGGCATCTCAAACTCACCTGTGGTGTCCTTGTGTGAAGAGGGGCAATTCTGTGGCTGCTGAGAGGGGCAGATTTGGTGGGTGCTGCAAGGACCCAGGCAGGTGTGCAGAAATGTGCCCAGGACAGAGCTTCCAGGTCAGGCTGCCGCCAAGCATCCTGTGTGCTGGGCATGGCTCCAGCCCTGGGGATGAGCTCAGAAAGTACATGGTTCAGTCTGGCAGCGAGCTGAGAAGGCAGCTGCGTTGACCTGGAGGAGGTGGCTGTGGTGGCCGGAAGAGGGGAGGTCAGAGTCCGGCACGTTTATGAGGCAGAGCCTAGGGATCTGCTGATGCTCTGGAGGTGGACAGACAGGGGGAGGCAGGGGAGGGTGGCAAGGATGGCCCCAGGTCCGTGGCCTGAACTAGTGAAGGAACACACTAGTTTGCTCAACAGAGGTGATCGGGTGCCCATGATATGCCAGGTGCTGTTCAGGCATGGAGGGTACAGCCAGCTGCGAAGTGACTATTCTCATGGGGCTGGGGGTGAGGGACAGGTACTATGTATGTCAGATGGTTCTGGCTCTTTTTGCAAGGGGCTGGTCAAGGAAGGTTTTTTTTGACACAGAGAGTGAGGGATGGCAGAGGGGAAGACGGGCAGGCGGCCAGGAGGCTCTGGCGGCTGGAGGAGGCATGACATCCTGACTTGTTTTATGGGTCGCCCTGGCTGCCCTAGTAAGAGCATGAGAGTGCAGCAGGGACACTTGGAATCCACTGTGGCCTGGGGACACGGGTAGGGAAGGGATAGATTCTGGATGCATTTTGAAGAAAGGACAGCTAGGATTTGCTTAGGATTAAATCAGGTACATGAGAAAGAGGGGCCAGAGCCGACTCCAAAGCATTTGATGTGAGCAGCTGTAAAGACCAGACTGCCATCCCTGAGTCTGCTAGTGGGTGTGGGGGGCCCCAGGCAATGGGCAGGCTCAGGGACACTCACCCGTCGCACAGGAGTGGGTGACGGGTTTGGCCTGTGCTTCTGAGATGTAGGAAGGAAGTGGCGGTGCCCCGTACGGAGATGAGACGCAGGCGGGGCAACAGGAGCTCCGGTCGGTCTGAGAAGCCACCCGAGTGGGAGTGTCTGTGGGCAGCTGCGGGGCCCGGCTGCAGCGCTGGGTGAGGCTGCGGCAGGGGCCTGACCGATGCCCTCAGATGGGAATGAGGGGTTGCGGGGAGGCTGAGCCCTAGGACGCTGTGACCAAAGGAGCCACACAGAAATGAGAAAGGACAGACAGGGAAGGCTGATAGAGGGGGTCCTGGCAAGGGGGCGGCGATGAGCGGTGCCCCGTGCTGTGAGAGGAAGGCGCAGAGGTGCTGGGGGCCCTGGCGTGGGTGAGCAGGACTCACAGCATCACCCGCCTGGACTCCCACCCTGCAGCCACGCTGGCCAGGACGCAGGGCTCAACTCTGCCCCCTCCCCAGTTAAAACGGCTTCCTCAGCCTAGGCCTCTTCAGTCAAACAGCGCAGTAGACGTGCCCCTTTGTGGGGCTGTGGGGGCTTAGCTAGAAAACGGGCACAGGAGCCCTCAGTAGAGAGAAGCACCTTCACTTTATCAGCCCTCAGCACAGCCTGTCACAGGTAACGTGACCCCCTTGAGGCACAGGCTCTGTCATCACCCCAATTTCACAGCCCAAGAGTCAGGTGTAGAAGAGATGCCCCAGCCCTTGTCTCACGGCCACAGCACGTACAGGACGGCCACCCAGGCTGCACCCACTGCCACGCCCTTGCTTCGCCCTTGGAGCCTTCCATGGGTCTGTGGTCCCCAGAGCAGCAGCCGGGCCTGCTGTCAGGGCTGCAGAACTGGGCACGGGGCAGGCTGGCCCTGTGTCCTGCAGACACTCACGTCCTGTGGGTCTGGTCTCAGGTGAGCCACCACCCTCCATCAGCCGCACACTACGTGTTCTCCAAGAACGGCTGGAGCCTCTGGCAGGAGATCACCATCTCCAGCAAGTTCCGGGGGAAATACCTCTCCATCATGCCGCTGGGTGAGCTGGGCCCTGTGCTCTCCCAGGGCAGGGAGCCTTTCTGGATAAGGGGGGAGGGTTTTGCCAAACCCAGAAACCAGCTTGGGCCTCCAGGGGTGACACTGGTTTCCCTGCGGGCATGTTCCCTGCTCCCTCCTCCCAGGCTTCCTGGGTGCCCCCTTCCCCAGTCGGCATAAATACTGTGTCCTGGGATCAGGACTGTGGGTGGGTGGGTAGGCGGGCAGGCTGGCTGGGACCTGGCACCGCAGGCCACAACATCTGACCCTGTATCTCACCTCCAGGTGCCATCCACTTAGAATTCCAAGCCAGTGGGAATCACTACGTGTGGAGGAAAAGCACCTCGACTGTGCATAACATCATCGTGGGCAAGCTCTGGATCGACCAGGTCACGGGGTGCCTTAGGGCAGGGGTGTGTGGCCCGGGCATAGGCCGCTCACCACTAACTACCCTCCCTCACCAGACAGGGGACATTGAGATTGTGAACCATAAGACAAAGGACCGGTGCCAGATGAAGTTCCTGCCCTACAGCTACTTCTCAAAAGAGGTGGCCCGGAAGGTAAGCAAGGCCACCAGTCAGAGCCTTGGGGGCTGGCCCAGAGCAGGCCCATACCTATGCTCGTCCTGCCAACATCCACAGGTGACAGGCGTGGTGAATGATGGCCAGGGAAAGGCCCATTACGTGCTGTCAGGCTCATGGGATGAGCAGATGGAATGCGCCAAGATCGTGCAAAGCAGCCCCAGCAGCCCCAGCTTGGATGGGAAGCAGAAGACAGTATACCAGACGCTGCCGGCCAAGCTGCTGTGGAAGAAGTACCCGCTGCCGTGAGTGGGGCTGCCAGGGCCCGCGGAGGGCGGTGGGGCAGGGTGAGGAGCGGGCAAGGAGAGCAAGAGGAGGTGGCAAGTGGGCAGGGGACAGGGTTCCCTTGCCTGTCCCCTGCCCGGCCAGACAGGAAGCAAGCAGCCTAGGGGTCAGAAGGAGTCCACGTGTAGGAGAAAAGTGTTGTGTGGCTGACATCCCAGCATGGGAGCCAGATACCCAACTATAAATTAGTAGTAAGTCCTATGCAGGGGCTTCAAACAGGTCACGGGACAGAGTCCTCATAGTCCAAGAAATGGAACCCAAGAAACAGAACACTATAAAAAGTGGCATGACAGACTCCAAAGAGAGCAAAACAGAAGTTCTACAAAGGAAAAACAACTGAAATTGAGTACTCTGTGGGAAGGTTTAATGGACTCCATCAACTGAACATAGGTCAGAAGAAATAATCAAAAACCAGGAGACAAAACCTGAAAAAGAGAAGCTAGAGAGAGAAGGCTTACCACCTAGGGACCCGGAGGGAGTCCCTGAAGTAGCGCGATCGGCAGCCTTGGAGCATCGCCGATGCAGAGACTCCGCTGGATCCCAGGGCTTTGCTGCAGACGCCCAGTGTGACAAAGGGAACTGGTCTAGGAGGGAGAAGACATTATCTGAAGGGAAACAGCATAGAATTTTCCACACATGAATCTATATACAGTGAAACTGTTGAAACTACCTAAACAAGAATATACCAAGCAGTCAGTTTTGAAAAGACGTTACTCCTGAGGAACAGCAGACTGACAGCCGTCACCTCAGTGGCAATAATGGGAGCTTGAAGTCAGTCACAGATCTTCCATGTGCATAAAGACTCCCTGCTAGAAGCTGAAGTAGACATTTCCGAACAAATAAAAACTCATTTTGCCACCAGCACTCGCACGAAAGGATATATCTCCAGCAGAAGGAAGATGATATCAGATGGAAGATCTACGATGCATGAAGAACAGAAACTTATGTGAACACTGAATAAACACAATAACATGGGATTCAAAACCTAAACAGAAAATGTAACTGCAATCACGTAAGTCAAAGAGGGATAAATGGAAGGAAACTTCTTGAAGACCCTCATGCCATCCAAGAGAAGGGTCAAGGGTCAAAATGTGCATTAGCTTTTGACTGTACGAAATACGCATACTGCAATTCCTAGAATCATCACTAAAGTAATGTGTCTAATGGAATCTTGGTAGAAAAGTAAAGAAATAAAAATGGAGAGGAGAAATAGTTAAACAATGGAAATGAATTTCCCAAAATAAAGAAATCAAAGACCCCAGGTTGAAAGGGCCTGTAGAGTTCCAGGGACAAGAAATAAAACTTTTGCATAGACCACACTATAGCAAAAATTAGGAATACCAAGGAGAAAATGTTGATAGCTTCTAGAGAGGAGTGAAAGGTTTCACTCAAGAATAAAGAATCAGATTAACATCAGATTTTTCAATAGCCAAAGTTGGAGTAATATTTTTCAAAGTAATGAAGAAAAGAAATTAGAAGGTAAATTTTTTTTATCCAGCTATCATTCAAATATGAGGGCATAATAACACTATGTCCTCAGGGAATGGCCTCAGCAGGTTTGATACCCAAAAATCCACAATGGAAAAGGTATCCAACACAGTACTTTAAAAGGGGGAGAAAAACCCAGAAGGTGCTGCAATATACAGAAGAAAAAGAGAGATTATACTAATAATAATCCAGAATTGAAAGTGCAGATAATGTTAACGTGATGGGGTTTGGGGAAGATAGAGGACACCATAGGATGTGAAGGAATGCTAAGTTCTTATTAGAAGGAAGAGACAGATACAAGATTTATTTTTTAAATAGTAAGAAGAGATTAAAAAGAAAAAGTACAAGGCACTCGCTACCTCCCTGGAGCACACCCACGGCTTTCCCTTCCCCCTTTTCTACCCTCCTGAGTGTGCATTCTGAACTCTAAGGGACCCCACAAGACTTGCAACCAGGGGAGCAATGGGCAGCAGCAGCTCATCCCAGGCTAACCGCCTGAACCTGTCTCCAAGGCCCCGTTTTCTCTGACTCTCCAGGATGCTGACAGCAGCCCCACCTTGGCTCCCTTCTTTCCTACAATGTTTCTAAAGAGCCAAAGCAGCCCCCCGCCCAGGCTCTGCCCTGTTGCTTCTTCTATCCTAAACCCTTCCTTGTTTCACTGTCTCCAGCTTTAATAAACATACTCTCAAAATTTTTTTAAAAAAGGAGGTATAACAAAAACTGTAAATTAACACAGTAGAAACAGATCCAAGAGTAGTAAATAGCTGAGACTCACAAGTTAAAAAGCAAAATACTGATAGGATTTTATTAAAGTCCAGATACATGCACCTTCTAAAAGATATCCAAAATACGAAGATGTGCAAAAGTTGAAACTCAACGATAAATATATTATGAGAATACATACTAAAGACCTATGATAACTGTATTAATATAAGGTAAAACAGAATTTAAGACAAATGCATTATTAGGGATGGAAAAGTTGCTACATGATAAAAGGTTGAGTTCTTCAAGAAGATAAAATAGTTCCAAACATTAAACAGGTAATGAAACAGCCTCAATGATATACAAAGCACATATTGGTAGTAAAGGGAGAAATTGATAAATCCATCACCACAGTGGGAGATGAAAAAATTTCAGTATACACCTTTCACATGTTGATAGGTCAATAAGGGGAAAAAAACCAACCAACAGAAATGATGGAGATCAAAACCACACAGGATAATACACAAACTTACTGCTGCAACAATCAGAACATACTTTTTACTCAAGCAGGCATGAATTGTGTGCTGAACTCTAATAAAGCTTCAACAAATTTACAGAGGGTAGCCTACAGACCACTATCTATGATAAGACAATTAAGTTAGAAGCTATGAACAAGATGACAAAAAGTCCCCACCCACATATTTGGAAAGAATTTTAAGTTGCTAAATAAAGCATGGGTTAAAAAAAAAATTATAATGGAAATTTTAAAATACCTGGCTGAGAATGAAAAGATGACAAGACAGGCTGGCTGTAACAAAGGCAATGCTATTAGGAAATGTATTGCCTTAAATAGGTAAATATTTTTTACCTATTCCCTGAGGACATAGTTTTATTATGCCCTCATATTTGAATGATAGCTGAACAAGCTCATTAATTTTTAGGGCTTTTTTCTTTTCTGAGTTTCTCTCCTAAGAGTTAGAGAAAGTTCAACATAGAAACCCAAGAAAAGAAGAAAATATACTGTAAAAATAAGAGCAGAGATTAATACAATAGAAAAAAGTAAAAGAAGTTTCAAAAGCTAAAAGTTGACTCTGAAAAGAAAAACCTGACAAGGAACTACTGGCAAGACTGATCAAGAGAAAATATACAAATAAATATTAATGACAAGAATTTCATATGACATATAAAGTATAAAGAGAATTAAAATTCAGATGAAGACAAATTCTTTAAATAAAACTTAGAAGAACTGAGTCTAGAAGAAATAGAACACATGAATAGTCTTATAATAATTTAACAAACAGTCCATTTAAAATTCCCATAAGGAGCCCTGGCTGGGTAGCCCAGTTGGCTGGAACATCATCCCACTAAGCCAAGGTTGCACGTTTGATCCCCAGTCAGGGCACATACGAGAATCAACCAAACAATGCATGAGTAGGTGGAACAACAAATCAATGTCTCTCTCTCTCTAAAATCAATAAATTTTTTTTCAAAAATCCTGCAAGGAAAACCCAAACCCCAAATACTTTTATAGGTGAATTCTACCAAATTTTCAAAAAATGTATTATCCCAATCTTATATAAAATCTTCCAGATGATAGAAAAAGAATATTTTCCTGTCTTATGAGGCCAGAATCATCCTGATACCAAACCAGGCTAAGAGAATAGTGGGAAAATAAAAGTTTTACCCTATTTCACTCAGGAATATATAAGCAAAATTCCAAAACAAGACATCAGAAAATCCAACAGTGTATAAAGAGGGTAAGATAGCATTCTTCAATTATGTTGAGTTTATGCTGAGTATGCAAGGGTGGTTTTATATTAGAAAATCCAAAAATTAATTCATTACAATAATAGATCTCCATAGACTCAGGAAAAAAAGTATCTTAGCTGCCTTAATATAAGATTAATACACCAAAGTCACTTGCATTTATACACATTAAAAGAAAACAACTAAAAGATACAAGAGAAAACACCAATTATGTTATCAGAGAATATCAAGGACCTTCTATCAATGTCCCTCTCCCTCTCTTTCTCCCTCCCATCCCCTCTCTCTAAAAATAAGTAAAATCTTTTTTTTAAAAAGACAATTTTAAAAAGTGGAAAGCATATATAACCTTGGAGAAGATAAACCTGAAAAAGGATTAGTATCAAAATACATAAGAAGTGTTTTACCACAATTAAAAATAATAATTAAAAGATACATAAAGAACTTCTAATCAATAAACAAAAACAATGCAAGGGAAAATACAAGAGTCATGAACAAGAAAAAACAGGTATGGCCAGTCACCATATGAAAATTGACCAACATTATTGATAATTGGGGAAATGCAAATCAAAGCCTCAATGAGAAACCATTTCATCTTCATTTAATTTGGAAAAAATGAAAAAGTCTGACAGTACCAAGTATTGAAGATGATGTGAATCCACAGCATCTCTTACACATCACTGGTGGGAGTGTGAACTGGTACAACCATGTCGGAAGGCAGCTCAGCCTTACCCTCTAAAGAAGAACGTCAACAGGCTCCATAGCCCAGCAGTTCCACTTGTAGGTATGTTCTGCAGAGAAACTCCTGCAAATGTGTAACAGGAAACATGCGTAAGATAACTCCATAGCCAAAACTTGGAAACAACTGTAATTGTTGGGTGAATAACTGCTGAATTCACAGGAGAGAATACTATACAGTAGTTAAAACAAATGAACCACAGCATAATTGCAACCATATAAATTTAAGCACTATATTGATAAAAGTAAAAAAAAATACATCATGATATTCCTCTTATGCAATTAAAATGAGTATGTAAAATATATATGAATACACACACTTAAGACTATTTAAAGATGCAGTAAAATTACATCAAAAGGAAAGCGAGGGACTGGTGAACCCAGGAGACTTGCTGATGGCCACCTGAGAAGGGGACGGGTGGGTGAATTTTCCATATAGGCAGATGTAGGTTTTGTCAGAATTAACCCTATTGTTTAGGGTGGCGAGACTGCAGTAATACAAGCAGGCTATGCAAGGACCAATAAAGAGAGGGTGTCATGTACCAAGGGCTATGAGTAACCCACAACTGTGCACTGAGGTCCAAAAAAGGAGAACAAAAAGAAAAAACAAGATAGATTTATAGGTGTTAGATTTCAGACAAGTTTTTAAAATACAACTATATGTGGCTTACAAGAGATGCATCTTAAAAAATAAAGATTGGAATAAAAGGATGGAAAAAGATACGTCCATGGGAAAAAACCTACTGTAGCCATATTAATAATGAAAAACAGACTTTAAAACAAAAAGACTTGATAAGAGGGTCATAATGATAAAGGTTCGATTCACCATTAAGGTAAGTTTTACATTTTAATGTACCTTGTATGTAATAACACAGCCTCAAAATATATACAGCAAAAGCTGGTAGAAATATAAGGAGAAATGGACTAATTTGCAATTAAAGTAGAGAATTTTAACACAACTGCTCTGATAGAAGCAGCAAAATTTTGAAGTCAGGAGGATTGAAACATGGAACAGACTGTCAGTGGCCAGAGGGGAGGGGGAAAGGGGAGAAGGGTGGAAAGAAGGGGAAGGGACTAGACAAAGAACACGTATGAATGGCCCATGGATGCAGCCAACGCTGGGACTGACGGCGCAGAGGAGGGCAAAGGGGGAAAATACGGAACAACTGTAAGAGAATAATTATTTTAAAAATTATAAAATAATAACAGTAATAAACAATAGGAGGACTTTGAGGAGGATTAAATAAACGAACACATGTAAATTGCCAAAAAAAAGTCAGGAGGGTAAGTTTGAACAATAGAACCCACTGGACATTTGGATAACACTGCACAACTCTAAACGCATTCTTTTCAGTTGCATGTGGAACATTTGCAAAAATCAACCATATCCTGGACGCCAAAGCAAATTTATCAAAAAACTGAAATTATACCAAGTATACTATTAAGTATGACTCCAAGGCAAGTATACTATTAAGTATACAATACCAAGTATGACTCCAAGGCAATTATGCTAGAAATAAAAGTGAGTATAAAAATCTTGATACGAAGAATACGTCCAACTAATCCATAGGTCAAAGAAGATACGGAAATTAGTACATATTTACAACTGCATTATATTGAAAGTATACATACCAAAAATGGTGTGAAATACAGACTTAAAAATGCACAGATTAGAAAAGAAGAAAAGCTGGCATGAGCTAAGTATCCATCTTAAGAAGTTAAAAAAAAAGAACAGCAAAATAAACTTCAACAAAGCAGAAGGAAGACTGTAAAAGCAAATCAATAAGGCAGTAAAACCTAACACAGGGCCAACAAAATTTCATCTTCTGCCAATGAATGAATGGACAAACCTCTGACCTGACCGTTGAGGATAGAGAGAAGGCACGTATAACCAACATCACAGACATCACTGCAACAATAATGAGAATATTATGAAACAACTTTACACTAACAAATTTGAAAAAGTGAACAAAATGGAAAAATTCCCAAGAAGCATAATGAAGCAGAACCGACGCAGATGGTGGCGCAGGGAGGGTCGAGCAGCTGAAGGGGGCAGCAGGGCTTTGCCGGCTCCTGGGCGCGCGAGCTGGAGGGGAGAGAGGGGAGAGTCGGCGGGGCGGGCGTCCTCGGAGCCCAGGGCGGCGGAGGGGCGTGGGGCGGGGATGCGGTACGCTCCTGCCGTGCACCACGCAGGGAGAACGCGGAGAACATGTACTACTTCTCGGAGCTGGCCCTGACCCTCAACGAGCACGAGGAGGGCGTGGCGCCCACCGACAGCCGCCTGCGGCCGGACCAGCGGCTGATGGAGAAGGGGCAATGGGACGAGGCCAACACAGAGAAGCAGCGGTTGGAGGAGAAGCAGCGCCAGTCGCGGCGCCGGAGACTAGAGGCCTGCTCGCGGGGCTGCGGCGCGGAGGACGGTGAGGCCAGGGGACGGAGGGGATGCCCCAGGGGGCGGGAAGGGGTGCCTGGGGGACTGGGGAGGGGGTTCCCGGTGGGCGAAGGAGGGCCGCCTGCCCACCGCTCGCCCGCTGTGCCCGCCCAGCAGAGAAGGAGGCCGACGTGTACACACCGCTGTGGTTCGAGAAGAGGCTGGACCCGCTGACCGGGGAGACGGCCTGCGTGTACAAGGGCGGCTACTGGGAGGCCAAGGAGAAGCAGGACTGGCACATGTGCCCCAATATCTTTTGAGCGCCACCCCTTCCTGCAAATACAGGCCCTGCACAGCCTGGTGCCCCTTTTACTTAATGCACTCAATTTAGTACCTAACGGCCCTCCCACCCCACTGTTTTCCTTCCCCCCCCTTTTTTTTTTAATACTTTTTGGGGGCTCCAACCTTGGAAGGAGGAAGTGCTGGCCCGGTTCTCTCCAGCCCCCCAGGTGCCCCTGGTCACCTGTGCCCCTTCATTATGGACCTGGGCTCCATCAGGACCCCAGCTCGCAGTGACCACAACTCAGGCAGCTGGCCCGGGCTCTGGACTGCCCCATCACCAGCCCCACCCAGGGAGGGACTGACCCTCCTAGGGAGCCGCTTTTGACTTTTTTAGAAAAACGATCTCCACTTCTCTCCAGCCAAGATGTTTAGTAAATATTTTTAGTACAGCACTTAGTAGACAACTTTCTAAGTGTGCTTTCTTGCCACAAAAGTGTCCTGGCAAGAGCCCCTTCTTTTTAAGACATCAGGAAGCCAGAAAGACCCTTTGAGTACAGAGTATTTTGTAGCTCAACATAGCAAGACTGCCCCCCCAGGAGCCCAGGAGCCCACAGGGAAGGGACAGGGAGGGGCCGCTGGGCCCAGGAGAGCACAGGTTGTCTCTGGAGCTATCGCCACCGTGGGGAAGGGGCCCCTCAGCGTCCGGGGGACCGAGCCTTGGCCGTCTGGGGGCTGCACCCAGCCCCAGACAGGCCAGGAAAAGCTGGGGGCAGGGCCTGCAGGTGCTCCTCGCCCCGGAACCAGGCCCCGAATCAGCAATAAGAACAAACCCTCAGCTCAGCCTGGGCGTGGCCCTGGGCACCAGAGACCTAGCGTCTGGCCTTGGCTTCAGGCACCTCTGGGGCGCCCCATCTCAGCACCCCTGAACTCTTTATTTGCCTGATTTATATATATATAAAATATAAATATATATAAAATAGCTATTTTGCTTAAATTTCTATGGTATGTGGAAATGAAAAAATGATGAAGACAGGGCTCTCCTGTCTGAGTTTGGCCCTCCTGGCAGCTGTGCCCTGCCCTCTCCTTGGATCCCCCTCCAGTGGCTTCTGCCAACAGTGGGGGGCCTGGGCCACTGTGGCCACTGTCCCAACCTTTAGTACCCCCCACTCCAACCCTTCCCACTTCAGTTTTGTCCTGAAAACTCACCGCAGGGTTTTTCTTTCTACTCCAGGACTGGTTTTGTTTTTATAAGGAAAAAGGTGAAAACACCAACTTGTGAAATGCCTTAGGGTGCCCACCGCAGAGTCAGGGCGGCAGGCAGCCCACCCGGCCTGCAGCAGAGCCGTATGCTGTACCTCTTCCCAGCACTGTTTGTGGCGAGCGCCTTCTGATGGGTAATAAAAACCTTGGATTTGGCGTTTTCCGTGGCCCTGTCCCTGAATCTGTCTGTGACTGGGTGGAGCAGGGTTGATCCGAGAGCACAGGTGACAGACTGCGAGGTGGGGGGGGGGGGGGGGGGGGGGGGGGAGAGCGTGGGGCTTATTCTGCCGCTCTGAGCAGGCAGCAGGACGTTGGTCTGGATTCGGGGGGTGGGGGGCTGGGCCAGAAAAGGCTTTTTTTAGAAAAACATGTAAGGGCTGAGCCAGCATCTAGGGATGGGGTCACGGCTTTACCCGAGGCTGTCTGGCTCCAGACACCCCCTGCAAGGGAAGGCCACCCTGGTGAATTACATAGTTGCTTAACAATTGTGACCTAGCACTTCCGCTGCCCGGGTTGCCGAGCAACCCAGGTCACTGGCTACCAGGACTGAGCAGCTGGTCGGGCCCAGGGGGTCCTCTTCCCACTACTCCTGGTTCCAGGTGAGAGGATGGGGTGGAACGGGGCACCACAGGGACATCAGAGCCAACCTCTAATCATCTGTCCTGACTGCGGGGCGCTGTGGGATCCAAGGCTGGGTGCGCACGCTGGTTCCTTCCCCATGTGGGTGGAGGGAGGCCCTGGTGAGTCCCGACAGTGGGGCAGGCAAGGCAGCTCTCATTGGAAGGGGGTGGGGGTGAGGCAACCCCAGGATGGGCCTGACCTGGGAGCAATAATGGGGGTCTGCCAGGAGAGGGGATGGGCCACGTGGGCGAAGGCTAGAGTAACGAAGGCCAGCCTACTGAGGCAAACTGAGGCATCAAAGATCTGGGGGTGGAGCCAGACAGAACTCTGAACAGGGACTAACACCAAGTTTACTCTGGAAACCACCCTGACCAGCATGACACAAGATCAGCATGCGCTCGGTGGTCTGTCCAGCCATCACTGAACAGAAAATTTAATAAATTCTGCCACATGAAAAAAATGCCATCTTCATGGATGGATGCTGGGTCCATGGAGCCTCAGTTATATTGGTTCTTCCCAAACCTACAAATTCAACATGGTCCAAGTCAAAATTCTACCATTATTCTTCCAAAACCTCACAAATTGACTGTGAAATGTATATGGGAGAGTAACTGCACAAGAAATAGCTAAGGCAATGCTTAAAAAGAAGTAGGTGGCAGGGGTAGGTGAGGGGTGGACAACATGGACTTGACCTGCAGATACCCAAACATGCTAGGAAGTTACCACCAAATGGCTTCCTTTTCCTCCCCTGCACTTCCCACCATCTGGCACACCATGTATTTTATTTGTTGACTCTGCCTCCCCAGCCCCCCGTGGACTGTGAGCTTCACTGGAGTAGGAATCCTGTCTATCTTACACACTGTAGCATCCCCAGTGCCTGGTATATAGTAGGTCCTCCTTAAATAGTTACTGAGTGAATTAATGTCAAGCCAGAAAACCCAGCTGGAGAAACACCTCTGGGGCAGCTGGAGCGGGTGGCTACAGTCTCAAATTGTGAGGGGGCCTCAGAGACAGAACTGGGGAGAGCTGTCCCTAGGGACCCAGGAAATTCCTGCTTCCCACAAACTCTAGAGTCCAAATCATGGCTCCTGACAGACTGTCAGGGAGGAGGCCTAAGGCTCCCTCCTCTCCAGGGCTGGATAGGGCTCAGCATGAGGGGGGTGGAGAGAAGAAGACACCAAACAGGAAAATGTCAAAGTGCTATACAGAGAATAGAACCAGAGATCATATGTATTTTTATGAAGCAGGCCAGCATAACTTTAACAACAAACACCTGATAAAGACTGCACTAAATATATAGTTTAATCCCAAGAATATACTTTTCATATATCCAGTATGACAATAAGAAATAGAATCCAGCCACAATCAAGAGACAGATATCCCAAATTGGTAAACGTAGGCCCCAGTTGGGTTTACCACAGAAATGCCAGGACACTTTTCACTGAAAATCATATCAGCCAGTTCAAGACGACTTCTTTCTGGGAATGTGTAGACTAGGTGCCTGGATAATGGAAAACTAAACATGCTGGAGAAGATTTTAAGACACCTTAAATGCATCCATGAACTGAAAAGAATATAACAAATACTCAGGACAGCGATCACATGGGGGCAGAAACCTGGAGAGAGAAAGCTCTGAGGTCTGCTTCCCTCTCACGGCCACTTACAGAGCCCAGTGAGCCTAGAGGTAGGTTTCCAGAAGGAGACGTCCTCCAGAAAGCTAAGCCTTCAATAAAATGGTGAATCACAAATAAAATACATGGAAAATTGCTTGTTTTAATAAATGTTAGTTCTCAACAGAGCAGGGGAAAAAAAAAATCCCCTAAGAATTTGCAATCAGGAATGGGCCCTCCCTTGGTTTTGTAGTCTGATTACATACTACCTAGATGACCCAATAAAATCTCTAGCAAAGAACACAGCAGACTCCCAAACGCAATGTCACCAGTCACATGAGAGAAGCAAAAAAATCCTCTGGAAGATCTTCCCTTCACACCAGGCCTTATGAAACCCCAGATATGAAGATGCAAGAAAATATGAGCAGTTCACAGTATACTACCTCTAAACACACGAACTCAACTCACAAGTTGGCCTAGGAACAGGCAGGGGCTAACTAAACAGCAGAATAAGACAAAAAACTCCTCCATATAATGAAATTATCAGAATATAAAATAAGCATGCTTAAAATAGTTCTAGAAACAGAAGGGTGGCTTGAAAATGAGTATTCAAAAAATGCTCCAGAAATTCCAGAAACTGGGAAAAATCACTAAAAATAATTTTATAATAGATTACACAACTGAAGAGAGTGGCATGGGAGTGAGATCTGAAGAAAGTATCCAGAATGCGACACCGACACAAGGAGGTGAAAAAATATAAAAGAGAAATTAGAGACATGGAGGATAAAGTGAGAATTTCCTATAAGTATCTAATCAAAATGGAGTAGGAACAATCTTTGAAGAGTTAATGGCTAAAAAATTTCTGAGAACTTATGAGAAACACCAATACACAGAGTGAATCCCAACATGTCCTAATCAGGGTAAATTAAATCACATCTGCAGCTAAATACAATACAGTGAAATTGCAAGGCCTGGAAAATGCCAAAATCCCAAAATGCCAAAACCTTAAAAGAAGCCAGATTAGGGAGGAAAAAAACCCCAAAACATCTTCAAAGAGCATCAAACCGAGAGCTGACCTCCAAAGATAGAAGACAATGAAGTGTTATCTCCAAAGTAGAGGAAAAAAATACTAGCATTTCCAGTGAAACTATCTTTCAGGAACAAAAGGAAAATAAAGAATTAACAAAAACTTAGTAAAACACTGTTTTGTGTGGTTAGACTTTCATGAGTTAAATATTATATAAAACACCTTAATTACTTAAAGGAATAGGAATAATAAATTTCAAAAACAGAGGAAAAACATCTATGTGGAGGAGAAATTTTCTATATAAAAGAAGACAGGAAAGAAATGCAGATAAGATGGAATAAAAATTACAAAATAAGAGTATAGAAATAAGTCAATAATCAATGCATCAATAACCACACAAAAGTTAAGTTAAATGTTTCAGATAAAAATATCTGGAGTAAAAACATAATCCAACTATATGCCATTGACAATACACATAAAACATAAATACAGGCCTACCTCGGAGATACCGTAGGTTCAGTTTCAGACCATATCAATAAAGCAAATATCACAATAAAGTAATCACAGGAATTTTTTGGTTCTTGGTGTTTAAAAGTTATGTTTACACTATACTGTAGTCTATTAAGTGCATTACATCTAAAAATGTATATACCTTATTTTAAAAAATATTCTCTTGCTAAAAAAAGCTAACCACCGTCTGAACCTTCATCTAGTTGTAATCTTTTTGCTGGTAGAGGGTCTTGCCTTGATGTTGATGAAAATGCAGTATTTGTGAAGTGCAATAAAACTAAGCATAATAAAATGAGGTATCCCTGTAGACAGAGAAAATGTTAAGGCAAAAAATATAACTAGATGCCAATCTCTAGGAAAAAATGTCACTTTATAATGATAAAAGGTAAAATCATAAAGTTTTAAAACTCTTATGGTAGCCAATAACATCTCAAATTAAGTAAAATGGACAGTCACAAGGAGAAATAGATAAATCCACAGTCTAATGGAAGATTTTAACATATCTTTCCCAGTAATAAGACCTCAGACACACAAAAATATCAGCAAGTTTTCAAATAACATACTTAACAAACTTGATGTTATGGAAACAGGGCATTTACACAGAACTGCAGAATATGTTTTCAAAACACACATGGAACATTTATGAATATTAACCACATATTTGGACTGGTCATAAAGTCTTAGCAAGTTTCAAAGTACTGGTACACAGACCACATTCTCAGACCACAATGAAGACATTTCAAAATCAATAACAAAAAGATAATTAGAAAAAAAAAGTTTTTGGATATTAAGAAATACAGTTTTAAATAACTCATGGATCAAAGAAGAAAATAACATCAAAATACAGCTAAAAATTAAAATACCACATAGCAAAATTTGTAGGATACAGATAAAGGAGTACTTAGAGGAAAATTTATAGCTTTAAAAGATCACATTATAAAAGAAAAAAGGCTAAAAAATAGCTAAACATCCAATTTGAGTAAGAATGAACATCAGAAATTAATAAAAGAAACATGATAGAGAGGATCAAGAAAGCTGAGGTTGATTCTTATAAAAACTAAAACTGACACTTTACTGATCAGAAAAACAAAAGGGAGGAAGAGCAGGAAGAAGGGAGGAAATGAATGGACCAAAAAACAGTATTTGGAATGAAAAGAGAAAATAAATACAGATGCTACAAACATTTTAAAATAAGAATATTATGAACAATTTGTGACAATCTGTCTGAAAACTGAGATAAAAATCCCAGAAAAATAAAACTTAGAACTGGCTCAAAAAACAAACAAAACCCTAAATACAATTATAACCATTTTTCAAAATTTAAAACAGTTAAAAATCTTCCCTCTACATATGCACACAAAATTCTAGACACTGA